CCCCAAAACCCCAAAACCCCAAAACCCCAAAACCCCATCTATAACCCAAACTATAGAATTCAATAAAATATTTTAGTTCAAGAATAAAATGTATGGGATATAAGCCAGATTTCGTTAAATTACACTCCCCGCTTAGTTATTTTCTCTCCTTGCTCAAGCTAGCCAAGTTATTTCCGTATCTCCTGTGTAGTATATTCTTGAGATAAAACTTCTTCTAAAGCATTTCTAAATTATATAAACTCACCGTATAAATAGTTCTGAGATAATGAAGAAAGACCATCGCAATAACTTATACGAAAAGATTAGAGAAGCTCATGAGAGAAAGAAGAAGGTAAATACCTTGATTTACAAGAAACTCCTTGGGCATTCTAGGATGAGTCTAATACGGTGAAATAGGTAGAAGGAAACAACTTCTTAGCACCAACCAAGACTGCCCTATTCGGGCTTGAAGTAAGGTTCCGCTACGTTGAAAGACAAATGAAGGCGGAAAAATAGAAGTAAATATATTCATTTATCTCATAGAAATGCGATCCAAAGGCACTGGCTCGCATAAGAGAAAAGTACGCTTTTAATATAATTTCAGCCAGGAGAAAAAGGAACCTTGAACAGACATGCACTGCCTGAGTATATGAGGTCAAAATCTGGACGATTCAATGACAACTTTCATGTATCTTTCATTTTATGAGGCTTATAGCAAAGAGGAAGATATAAGTCAAGTAATAAATCTCAGAATAAGACACAAATAATTCAAAATTCAGATCCGATGTCTTCCTCGTAATTATAGTTGTTTAAATTTTGTTAGAGAAAATGATGAAGATGAAGACTTCGATTCTCAGAATATGGAGAATAACTTATTCAAGTACTTTACTGCTAAATCTTAGGAACATCTCCAATCCAGTTAGGCCTCAGCATGAGCTATTAATGAAACCTCCTGTGGGGAGTATCTTACACAAGAAGCAGAATTCAGGCTTTGAAGTGTATAATTCTTCTGAAAATACATCTCCATATAAAGAGAAGTAAGTGCTGTAGGTAAAACTGTAGCTTACCTCAAAGCCCACCTGCATCATCTATGAACCTAGATATTTTAGGAAACACTGGCTTAAAGCTCCTCGAGTTACGGGGTAATATAAGCGCTCAGAAAGATTTAAAGAAGTCTGACCAAAAGAGGCAAAGTAGGATGAGTGATTTAAGAGTTTAGGTGAGACCCATAAGCATCATAACAACTTTTTCTATCGCAGAGGAGTGTCTGAGGCTACTAAGGAGTTACCATCTTGTTTCTTACCTTATAAAAAGCCTCAGAACCAGTCTACAGCTGCTAATACCAAGAGGTTGATTGAAATTAAAGGTATATTCTGACATCAAAAATAGCTGCTCTTAAGGAAAAAGCTAAAATTAAGAAGGAAGGTCCTAGAGATGAACTCGAAGCAATGATTGAGTCTACGATGAAGGAACATAATCGACTAATGAAGATTAGTAAAAGTAGGGCATACGATTAACATTAATCTATTCAGGATAGGGTTCAGAGAGGAAATTTAATCATATTTATAAACCATTTGTTCTAGCCTGCAAAATTCCTTCTTTTAGTTAATTCACTTCAAAGCATTGATACTTTAATAAATCTGATGCTTTAAACTGATTAGTACATAATTATTTGGTACACATTTTGGTAAACACCCTTTAATCCCCTCTTAGACATCAAAATCCACCACCAGCCCCTCAGTCGACGCCGGAACAATCTTGAAACCTCTTCAAATGCCCATCCCTCCTGTAAATTTTCCTTGTTACCCTATAGACACCGATCAGGACCAAGAACAGTAAGTTTCCTCCTCCAAAAATTCAATTTTGGCCGCTCAGCCCTCTCTAGAATGTACTTTTCAGTCCCTTGACTCCTCTCTAGCCCACACAAGAACCAGATCATGGCAGCCAAGCTCATTGGCGAGACCGAAGAGCTAGAGACAGCGTACAAAGAATACGTTCAGAAAATAAAGAAGGAGAAGAAAGACCAGGACCTGTACAAACCTGAGCCTGATGAAGGCGGTAATCACCATGAAGGAGCCATACCTAGGTACGAAAGAGGGTAATCTGTAGGAACAGAAGAAAATTAGAGAAAGCAGAAGAAGCCAGCAATGGTATGTCTTATGATAAAGAAGGTTTAGAGACTGAAAGTGACAAGAAAGCAGCCAAACAAAAGCCGATAGTTACAGTTCAGTACCCAAAATCGATTTATAAGTACCTTTCTGGCAATAGTTTGAAGGATCTCAATCTGAACAAGTTCAGGAAGAGTGATATTTAGATATAAGTTTGCAATGAGGATCTGGGTTATGATGATTTCGAAAATTTCAACTAACACTATTGAGAACGGGGTTTTGGGGTTTTGGGGTTTTGGGGTTTTGGGG